TACGACTGTGATAATTTACCTTGAAACCCAGCACATGAAATGTAATTTCTAGCACTTGACATGAGTGTTAATGTATCTATTTATGCAGCACTGGTGCATTCACAAACATAGCTTCAATATCTCTCTATGCTCAGTGTAGTTATATATTATTTGGGCTTTTGATTCAAATCTGGTTCAAGCAGAATTAACCGGCAGCACCCAAAGACGGCATAAATGTTCAGTGCTCGTGATCAAAAATCCCCCCGACGTGAAACAGGTTTGGCAGAAATCTCATCATGTGGGACTCAGTGACTTGAGGGCATTTTTAAGGACCTTTTCTGTTTTGAATTTGAATCTGATCACGGAAATAAATGTTTTTATGCACATTTATTAAGAAGTAGTCCAATAATTGTGGGCTGGCAAGAAGAGCAGGTCCATTTTTGCGAGAGACAAAAAGAACACACTCTGATAAAACATTATGCAAATGTGGACCAGTGACATCAGCATGCAGATTTCTGCTTTCTTCTTGTGGACACAGTCAGGTGATATGCAGTGTGTATTAAAAAAAACAACAGCTTTCCAGATTCTTTTTAGAAGCTTTACTAAGCTGCATTTAATGTAAAGGCATTAAATGCAGGATTCAGACTGTGTCCTCAGTTGTAAATAAATCCTGAGCCCGCTTACTTTACTAAAAACTATCCACACACTGAACGTGTGCATTTAACCACAGCAGGTTTTCTCACAAACAATACCCATTTGAGACTTCATCGTGATGAAGGCTAAAAGGTCTGTGCACAAAACGGTGATTCAAAGTGAACAGCATCCCTGCAGGCACTAATGTTGTGACCGCTGAACTGTATAAAGACTGTATGGCTGCAGCTGTCAAAATCCTCAAAAAGACTCCTCTGGCTACTTAATATGCTTATTATATTTCAATTATTAGCTCATGCTCACAAGGAAGTGATTTTCATAATTGGTGTTTATAATACATTGGATCTAACAGAGGTTTTAAATTTCTGTCTTTAGTGTTCAATTTAAAGACAATAACTGATAAAATCTCAATTTTTCATTGCATAATTGGCATATCTTTGCAGGGCCATAAACACCACAAATTCTAGGCTGTTGACTAAAATTCCTTCCGACGATTCAGCCCCGGGAGATACAACTAATAAAACATACTGTCTAGCTTTGGTCAAGTGGGACATCCATCATTTAAGAGCCTGACAGCAGTCACTGGCTGCTACAATATTCTGATTAAACAGTAAACCAATAAAATGCTTCAGCCTCTGTTTGTATACAGAATGTAAGTTCAATAGCCCGATCTATCAAGTTTTATCTTATTCCTGCTCTTGATATTATTTATGATTTCATATTTGCTATTATTACTCCATCAGTCTGGAGAAAGGACATGAAAGATGAGAAAAAGGAATATGTGTGACGCGATGAAGTTTCCAGATACAATTTAAACCTGTGCAAATCAATATATGTTACCTCATGTTTGCAACGAGGTTCGCCTGTTAAACTAACAACTGCATAGGGTCCGTGCTGTCTTGTAGATAGTCAGCGGATTGCAGGCGGCTACTGAGCAAACCAAAGGCATCAGAGAGTTGAGGTAATGAAATTAGAGGGAAGTTTTGAGTAGCTTTCCTTATCTGTGAACACCAAATCTATGAGGAGCTGGTCAATAAGAGCAACAACAAGTAGCTACTAGGGGTGCAACGATA